TGCTCCATAATCGATTATCTCCCAATAGAAAATCGATTATCATTCATCTCAGAAGATATCCAGCTTGGAAACCAGTCCTTGATAATCGATTAATCTTTTTGTGTCAATCGACTACTGGATACATTAGAAAATTCTTGGTTTAGCAGACACACCTTGTGAATCGATTATCAGTAATAGATAATCGATTATCACCTGTCTCAGAACCTAGAAACCAAAGTGGTCTCTGATTTAACAGTAAAGGTTTTGTCATTGACAGTTGTAGTTTTTCGGGTAGTAAACCTTCCCAGTAAAGGGTTAGTTTTCTCTCCGAGTGTCGTATCTCTCGAGGAGTGGACGAAAGGAGTTAGTTTAATTACTCTAATTAGGCGAAGATTAGGATTGGTTTGTGAAAGTCTTCTCGGAACGGTTATGAAGGGAGCAGAGTAAAATAATGAATTAAGTTTACATAGTATAAGTATAGATTTGGACCTAGGGTCTGGACATCATTTGGATTTATTTTATCATATTAAATTAACAATTGGAATAATAATATTTCTATTACTACTCATCCATTTCTAGATTTGTACTTAATCCGTTGTACTTGAATATCATAGCCTTTTGGCATACAATATTTTCTCAATAAATAGCCAATTAAATCTTTCGAGTTTAATTAACCAAATAAGGCAAGAACAATAGATTAACCATTCCAACATTAATTTAACATAAAAAAAAACAACGAAACTAGTCCGGACCCAGAGATCCGGACCCTAACTCATACTATGGATGCATTCGGTTGTAGATGCATTCGGTTGTTAATTTGTTGTTTGTGTGTGACTATTATTTGTTTTTCAATTACTAAAATTGATTCGGAGTGTGAGAAGCGAAAATGTTTAAATTTAATTAGACTGTTGAATATTGAACAAGGTTGTACTCTGAAATGTGCCATGGTCGTTCTGATTAACTACAAGATGATGAAATTCGCCATGATTAAAGATTTGTACTCTGAATCAGTTCGACTAAGGCAAGGCCAGTATTTCCTTTCTCACATGTACCATGTGCATCTTTATTTTTATTTGGAGAAAAATATGAAGTGATATCTGTTTTGCCTTTGTGATGCATACATCTTTTAAAGAGCATGTTTAATGTCAACCAGAGGTCTATGCTTTGAGAGAAAAGAAAACAAATTCTCCTCTTTACAATCGTAGCAAGAATAGGTTCCCACCTAAATACCAAGTCCACCCTTTAGTGTTTCACCTTATATGTTGGTTTTTGGAAAAGCTTGTCATTTACAAGTTGAAATTGATCATAGGTCTTATTGGGCTGTTATGGAAATTAGTTTAGACTGATGCAGTTGGAAAAGAGAGAAAATTGCAACTTTCAGAGTTAGAAGAAATAAGACTTGAAGCTTATGACAACTCAGTAATTTATAAGGGTAAAGGTAAGGCCTTTCATGATGCCAAACTCACTAGGAAACACTTTGACATAGGTGATAAGGTGATGTTAAATAACTCTAAATTACATTTGTTTCTTGGAAAGTTAAGGTTAAGATGGCTTGGACCCTTTGAAGTGTTAGAAACTTTTCCTCATGGGGCTATGGTAATTAGAGGTTTCACTACTAATAAGATTTTTAAAGTTAATGGACATAGATTTAAGGTGTATCACCAAGGTGAACAGGTTGCTAAGGTCGAGGACAGTTTCCTCGAGGAGCTATGAAATAAGGCAGTAAAGCCTAGCCAGGACTACTAAACAGGGCAGCTAGCACAAAACCAAAAAGAAATTAGGCATTTTAGTGATATACACCCGGTTACACCTTCACACACGCCACTAGTATTAAAAGAAATCAAGTGTTTAATGTCTAGGTGTTATGATCCATTTTGGGTTGAACTCATTGATCCATCCCACACCAAAACCCAAACCATGACCTATCTCTCCCAAAACCCAACCTAGGCTGAAATGCCTACAAGCCCAACCCACTCCCACATATCTAAAGTATTTTTACTACTCAAATAAAGCCCTTTTCCTCTTCTTTGAAGCCCTGGCCAAAATTGAAAGGAAAAGTACAACCCAAAATAATGTGAGTGTTGTTTTATTCCCTAAATATTCCTTTCATCAAATAAGAACCTTCCCCATCCCTTCCTACTTCAAAGTCACGAAAATATGCCCCCATTTGTCCTCAAAATAAGTCCCCATCCATCCAACACACACCCCCCACTACAAGAGGAACAAACCAGGGGACAAGAAATAAAACATGTCTTTTGTCCTGTTGTGATAATACATCAAACCCACACCCTTTCACACCCATGGACGAATTCAGCCCCCCAAATATCCCATTTATCACCCTTCAAATCCACAATAAAACCAAAGGAATAAAGGATAATCCTTAATGTATTATTCCTCATATGTGGACCAAAAATCCAGCCCCTCACCTCACCCTTCACATAACCAAACCACCCCCTTCCCTCATCCTTCACATGGCCGAAATCCCCACACCAAAGACACCCCATTTTCACCATTTAACACTGATCAATGAGGACAAACCAAAGGCATCAAATAAATGGATATTATACACTTGATTTTAGGAAAGTGGTAGGAAGCTTCCCCTTAGTTTTTCTTCCCCTTATTTATTTCGGCCAAGGGCCTTGTAATGCAGCACCAGATTGTTTTTTTATTCCCTTTACTCGTTGAGTAAAATCTTTGAATTAGTGTGAAGCTAGTTCTCCCCATTTCCTAATGAAATATCTCTAAAGTTGGCTACTTTTGAATGTGTGTTAGGAGTCTATTTCATATAATAGTAGTGAATATTATTGTGTGAAAAGAAATAGCCCCAAATAAAATAAGAGTGTGTTTATCTCTTATTCATTATTTGGTTTATCCTTATTCAACCAGAAAACCACCACAAAACTCCCTTCTTTCTCTCCCAATTTCGTCCATCCCATTTCCCCCATCGAAACACTTCATCTCTTCATCAAAAACAACTCCATAATATTTCTTTTCTCCTGCCCTTCATTCTGCCAAATCACCTTTTCCAAACAGCCATACTATCTTCACCATTTTATACTCAAATCTCATCATATATTCCCCTCTATAATCTGTCCTTATTTATCCATAGCCTTTTCCTAAGCTTGAGTACATCATTTGGTATGAGAGCTAGTTGTTAGTCATCTCTCAAGGACCATACACACTTCCCCAACTCCCTCCCTAAATTGGGCCTAACCACATTCAACCCCTACTCCAACTTCTGTCCTTTTCCTCAACCATGTCAAACCCATCCCGAAGCATGTCTCATGAAGAACTCGTAGCCGCAAACACTGCCTTGCAAGCTCAGGTGGAATACCTAGCCAAAGAAGTGGCTAAGCTCACGAAGCAAAAGATGTCCATGTTGCAAGATAGTGAAGATGAAGAGGAAGCTAGCTCTAGTAACACCATGAGAGCTAGGGCTCATGAAAAGTCCCATTCTGACTTCAAAGTTGATATTCCAATCTTTGAAGGAAAGAATGACCCGGATGAATTTCTTGAGTGGTTAGAGACAGTGGAACGAGTCTTTGATTTCAAAGAAGTCTTCGACGACAAGAAGGTCAAGATTGTAGCCTTAAAATTCCGCAAGTACGCCTCCACTTGGTGGACGAACACCTGCACCAAACGGATTCGAAGTGAGAAGCCTCCCGTTGACTCATGGCAAAATATGAGGAGTCTCTTGAAGAAGAAGTTCCTACCAACTGAATATTCCCGAGAGAACTTTGCTAAGCTTCAAACGCTTAGGCAAGGTACGAAGTCAGTGGAAGACTACACCCGTGAGTTCGAGGAACTCCTACTTAGGTGTGACTTGCAAGAGAACGAAGAGCAAACCTTTGTAAGGTACCTTTTTGGCCTAAATCTCCAAATAGCCAATACGGTGGAGCTGCAAGGCTATACTACATTTGAAGAGCTCACTAAGTTGGCTCTCAAAGTTGGGGCTCAAATGAAGAAATCCAAAACCATTCTCTCAAGAAAACCTCCCCCTTACTCACGTCCCACATATACCCCCTTAAAACTCACCCCTACTGCCCACGGCCAAACCTTCAAACCCCAAACACCATCTAAGCCAAATCCTACTCCTCCCCCACCTAAAACAGCCCCTACAACCAACAAAAGAGCCCCCGTTTGTTACCGATGCCAAGGAACTGGTCACTATGCCAATGAGTGCCCAAACAAGAAAATAATGGCCTTGGTTGAGTATGATGATGAAGAGTACAATCCCGTATGGGATGAAGAAGTAGTCGAGGAGGAGGAAGAAGAATGTGTTGGCCCCGACGATGGTGAACTTTTGGTCATCCGAAGGACCTTAAGTGCCATACCATGCCCCGAGGAGCAACTACAACGGGAGAACATCTTTCATACCCGTTGTACCATTCAGAAGAAGGTGTGTTCGTTAATCATCAATAGCGGGAGCTGCTCTAAAGTGGCCTCCAAAACAGTGGTGGAAAAGCTACATTTGAAGGTATCCCCTCATCCCAAGCCTTATACTATTCAATGGCTAAACCAAGGCAAGGG